CCCCCCCCCAAATATTTAAAAAAATACCCAGCAGTGAAATTTCCAGTAGCAGAAGAACATTTTATAAGAAAAATCCCAGTTTTTTCTGACTCTATCTTAGGTTATGATATTAATACTGAATTTTCCTTTCTCATTTGTATTTTGTACTTTTTAGGGAATCTTTAATAATTTAACCCTCAGAATAACTTGTGTTATGAGATTTACTACATATATATTTGTGATATAAACTACAGATTACAGAAATTAATTTAGAGTCGGTTTGTAGCCTGGATGGTCTGTCCAGGTGCTACTTCAGAGATAATCAGCATGAGGTCCAAGGGTGGCAATAAAAAAGAGGGACAGGCACAAATGTGTGACCCAAAAAATAAAGATCTTTAATAAGCAAAATAACAGATGCATAAACTGGACAGCATATGGGGATGCACAAAAAAAGGCCAGAGTCCAAGGTGTTACAGTAACTTATATAATATAGGTTAGGGGTGGAGTTCAATGGAAAGGAACCAATAAAAACTGGGGATTAGGAATATGTAAAATAATGCAGCAAATTTACCCAATAATAACAAAAACCTTCTAGCGCAATTAGCATATAACTTTTCAGGGGGCATTGTGGGTGAGCTCTTACTCACCGTGGCTACAGGGATCCTTCTTCTCAGGCCCTGGGGCAAAGTCCCTTACCAACTCCTTGCTGTGACAGACTCCAGCATCGGTTGTACTTTTTTTGAGCATAAAAGGCAAAACCCCTATATAGCCAGATCTTTGGGCCTGTTTAGTCTCTACCAATATCCACTGAATTTTATCAGCACACTCTTCAAAGTACAACTCATTTCCTCACTATAAAGTTACATTTAAGAGAATCTGTCCAAACCCACACAGCCTCTGAAGGCCTATCCTGGATTTCTTAATAGAACAGATTTTCTTCTCTACTCTTATGTCTGTTTACTCTTTGCTCCTAAGAACCTTGGCCAGAACACCATGCTGAAGCTGTCTCTGATTTTCAGTACTTCTGTTTCTTTCTGTTCATACTTACATGCTTTAAGGAGAAAAAGATCCAAAGAATGCAAGGCCTGTGAATATTCCACAGTTAAAAGGTTCCAAAGAAATACTAGATCAATGCTGACATACGGTGATTTTCTGTTTTACTGATCTATTTTAACTCCCTAAAATACACTTAATACTTTGTGAAGCGTAACCAATTATTCTTTTTACTTCATCTGGATTTTGTTTTCACTTTCTAGTCACTGTGACGTTCTGGAAAACACAAATAATTAAATAAACTTTAACTAGAATGCTCCAGGTAGGAATGGTTCTATATTGATGGTTCATGAACAGTGCCTTTAATACTACAAAGCATCACTAAAGGTTTGATGACGCTTTTGTGAGTTTGAGGGAAGAAGGAGGGGGGATAAAAGGTGAGTATCATACATATTTTGTTTATTTTTAAAAATATATCTGTTAAACAAGAATAATCTTAAAATACTGAAAATATGTTTCCACTCCACTTTGCAATTCTGGCTAATGAAGAAGCTTTCAAACTTATTTTGGGTGCAGCTTATGCTGAGAGAAAATGAGAAGCAGAAGCAAACAAAAATGTTTATTGTAGTTACTAGGTTCCTCAGAGAACCCCATCTGATAGTTGAAATGTAGCTGGTTCGACTCAGCTGGCAGATGGAAGGATCAGCTGGCTCTTTGGAATAGTGCTCAATATGCTAGTAGGAGTATTGTTTTTCAAGTTTTCTCTTTTCTATTTCTTTTTTTTTCCCCCCCTTCACCATCTTGTGTATTCTTTCTTTTTTATTTTCATCCTTATTTTGATCTTTGATGTCACCACAGCCAAGTGAAATGTTCTTTAATATTAGTCTTTGTCCAGGAAGGATCAAAAGCCTAAACAGGAGGGAAAAAAAAATTTTTTTTAATGTATTATTTATATTTCACTCAAAAAAATGTGAGGCTACGATATATTACTTACTGAACAGTGCTAATCCGTGACAGACTGTCCTCCTCAATAACACTCAAGCAACTAGTTAAAAATAAAAGATGGTGCACAAAGAGCAGTGCAGAGTTTTACTCTCTTAGTCTCCCATGTAAATGTCAATAGATGTAATTAACATGCTCTGAACAAATGCCAGTTGGCTGAATTTTGCAAACAGGTTTTAAAATACTGAAAATATAAAGCCTAAGGCATCAGCATATTTTTAAAGAATCACATAGATTTAAAATAAGTTCCTTTTTATTTTATTTTTTTTTAGTTGGTTATTTTGAGCATATATGTAGTATTTTAATACAAGAATACATTTCCCTAAGGAATAGGTTAATTTAGGGTTTTTTCTCCCTTAAAATTGTAAGCCTTCATTTCAAGAATAAATGTCAATGAATCATCTCTTGAGAACTACTGTTCTTCCATGTGACCTAGTGCATTTCTGCCTGGTTTCATTTTCTTTTTTTTTTTTTTTGTTTGCTTTAAGTTTTGCTTTTTTAGTTGCTTGCCTCAGTTTTGGTGAGTGGAAAAAGTAAATACAATAATGCCCAGAGGAAAATTATCCATTAAATAAGAAAGGGGTGTATGTGACTTCCTTGAAAAAACTTAAATATACTTGGAAAGAATTTTCAGAACTTTCTCTGAAAGAGGTTCCTCAGGTTGCAGGGAGAAGAGAAAAAAGCTATTGTAGCATTAGAAAATATGAACATTCATATATCATATTAAGAATTTTTCCCTAAACCCTATAGTAGAATAGAGAGAATACAAAAGAGTAGATGGAAAAGAAGTTTTTACTGGCCTTATTTTCAGTCACACAGTACATGAATTATATCCTCCGAGACGGAGGATAAGATGGAATACATATGAAAAAAAACCAAAAAACAACAAACAAACCAAAACAAAACCCAAAAAACCCAAACAGCAACCAAACACACAAAAACAACAAAAAGACTAGATGTCAGATCATTTTCCACACTTACTTTTTTTCTCCTTTAGATTTTAATACACAATTCAAGTTTAAGAAGATACAATAACAACGTAGACTGAAACTGTCAAATGGGATATTACAGCTGATTTCTTAGAGAAACGTTAGTAATACAGCAAGCACATTACAGACATATGTATACATTTGCTGACAGATGAAATTATTCAGTGCCCAAGCAAGCAAGCTGGAAACACCACAGGAAGTGATCCATACACTGAATGGGTATTCTCCTTTTCCTATAGGAAAGGGAAAACTGGATCATAAATCTCACCTACTGAGCATAACTGACCAAAATTTCTGAAGAAATTCACTTCTGAGACTAAAGGGAAATTTTATTTTTTTAAAAAAAAATATGTAATAGCCTTTAGAAAAAAATTTGGACAAAAATTTCAATTTCATTGAAAAAAATTATTTTTCCTAATAGAATTCTGAGAAGGGTCTCAAGGGAACAAAATGATGAAATGTAGTATTAGGAAAGCTAATTTACTGGAGGCTGAGCTATGTTCTTCAAAGTACTCAATTTTGGTGTATTACTAAGAAAGTTTGTTGTGTTTTTTCTTTTTGCAGCTTTTCTGTGGATAAATAAAGGCATGTTTGTCAGAAAAAAAAGTATTTTCAAATATTTCTAAGCTGAGAAGCACAGGGTGAGCTGAAACACAAGTATCTCCTGATTTTATGTAATATCTCAAAAGCTTTTATTCTGCCCATATGCAATCCAGCATGGATATAACATATTTTGCTTTATTCCTAATATGCCATTTTTACTGTTCTTCAGGTCAGGCAAAAATGCTCCAAATTATGTGAAACCACAATGTTGAAGAAACAGAATCAAGGCTGACTGAAATACTTACTTTTATTATCTCATAATTCATTTTCATCTAAATCCTCATCCCTCATCCCTAAAAATCAAAACAAGCAATAAAATAAGTGTCCAGTATTACTGTTTTGGTACTATCTAGTTTAATGAAAATAAAATAATTAAAGAAAATAATTTTGTAGGCTATGATCCCACAAAGGGATCAACACAATTCTGCTAGGAATTGGAACATGTCTAGGATTAGCAAGCAACATTAGTACTGCTAAACTATCACCCCAGAGGGAGAGTCCTGGTCTTCAATACCCAGTGGTACACAGCAAATCTTGTTCTCATTCCTCAGCCAACAGCTGTATCTGCCTGGGGGAGACAGCTATGATCTCATTGCATAGCTTGTGGTCTGGACTTGTATGTGGTGCTCTTACTTCAGTAAGAGATTTTTTAGTTTTGGTTTTGGTTTTTTTGTCCCATTCACAATGTCTAAAACAGTGTGTGGCCCTATCAAGGGTAATGTTTTAAACCCTGAAAGCTTAGGAGCTTTACATAACTTCCCTGACACAAGGCAAGAAAGTGCATGGCATGAAAAAGCACAACATATGCTAAAATTCTGAAGGATGGATGACTTCTTATGTAGGCTGCCATGCATTTTGAGATCGAGTTCAAAGTATCTGTTGGGATTTTTCCATAAACAGAACTCTTTCCAGAACTACTCCTACATGAGCTGAAACTCCAAAAAAAGGAGTCTATGCACAGGCTCAGCCACCTGAGGTATAAAGGGCCTAGGAAACTGGAAATTCAATGATAAACCAATTTATTTCTTAATTTTAGAAGTAAACATGGACAAGTAGCTCAGCTACTACAGCTTTATAAGAGCTAATAAAATTTTGGTAACCAGCAGTTCTTCAAGGTCTAGAGCCTGCTGAAATTATTCTGAAACTGATAAAGATCAAAGGTTCTCTCTAGAGTTCCTAACTACTAATTTATCTTACTAAAACCATAAATGACTAAAACAAAGGATGTTGAAGCAACATGTATTTCCTACACAGATACTACAGAGAAAGGTTTAAATGGAAAGATGAAAAAGTTGAACTAGTCAATTATTTTTTCACTTCTAATGACTGTGATCATTATTCTATACTAAGTAGGAGAAGAAAAGATTTAAATGAAATTTCTACAGATAGATAAAAAAATGTAATGGAAATTGGATTAAAATATTAACACCTTCTTAAATTGAAAATAAATTTAGGTATTGCTGTGAGTGAAGATAAAAAGCATAAAAAGAATAGAAGAACTCAGACCTCAAAAAATATAAACTAGGACTGAAGTAATTTCCTTTCACTCTGGGTTTTCATTATTTTAATCTTTGTTCAACACTCTCCTAACACTGACTCTTTTGGAAAACAAAGTTTATATTTTTGCTTGGAGATTTCTGAAGTAACAAGAATGCTTAATATATAGAATTGTCTCATTTTTGAATGTGATGAGTAACTCTCTAATCCCATACCTGAGTGCTCCCATGATCAAGATATTCAGCCTTATGTATTGCTTGATATGTGCACAGAGGACTGAGGAAACAATATGTCTTCACAATTTAACACATTTGGTATTTTAAGGGACTTTGAGAAATTTGCAGATGTCTGGAAAATTTCAAGCATTTAGACTTCTAAAACATGCAATTAGCATTTTCTCAGTAATAATCAGTGTGTCCAGATGTACAGAAATGAATGTGTACCAGCACTGGAGAACCAGGGGAGAAAGTGACTTCTAATTCGAAACTACAATAAAAAAAAAACAACAAACCAAACCAAAAAAAACAACAAAGCAAAAGAAAAAAGAAAAAAGAAAAGAAAAAAAAAAGTGGAGGGAAAGAAGGGAAAACTGCACAATTACACAGATGTTTGGTGTTACTCTTTATACAAGCTTCATTCATGGTCACTTTCCATAGGTCACTACAGCAAGTTAGTGATAACATTTGGGTTGCTGCTGCTGAGCTTTTTTTTGAATATTTATCAACTTGCAGTCAAGTTGATTGATTGATTAACTGATTGATTGAAATCACTTTCTGTAGCCACTCATGGATTTGGGCAGGATATACAGGCTTGAATGGGGATAGCTGCCCTCTTGGGCTTAATATGGGGCCTTTAAAGTAAGGGTTTTCCTGATGTAGTGTTCTCATGTTTCAGGATAAGAAAGTGTTTCCTTGGTCAGATGTCAAATTAGTCTCTCCACAACTTCTAGATACAGAAGATGATATGCTCTTACTGATACCTTCCAGTAACTTCAATAGGATGAAGCCATGACCTAGTTTGCTGTTAAGGAGGAGACAGCCTTGCAATGTGCATTTCACTTCAATACACAAATTCATGTATTCAGAGTGTGTATTTATCTAAGAGGTCTGAAACCCTCAGACAGTCAGCTTCTGCTTCTCCATTGCCTATGATAAAAAGCCTAGAAGCTTTCACTCATTTTGTGGGCAGGAGCATAGGTATGGGTGGTGAGTTGGAATTGAAAGGTAAAGAAGGAATTTTAGTTAATTACAGGAGTACTGGGAATTGGAAGGAGACAGAAAATCGAGGGCAGCTGGTGCAAGATTCTGGTTTCTATTTGTAAAGTAGCATGAAATATTTTTATCTGAGAATCCCCTCTATTAGCAGTCATCAGTGTAGGAAGTAAAAGAGGATTCTCTATTTGACTGTAAATTTCTCAGGTATTAAATTAGTCATTCTTTTACCTTCTTTCTTTAAATTGCCCCATGAACCTTGAACAAAAAGGCTTGAGAGCCCCATTCTTTACTGATTAGAAACTCTCCCTAGAGGGTACAGCTACAGATCCATATCTATGTGGACAAAGGAAACAACTACAGTTAGTGTTTACAACATTCTGAATGAGTGCTTTTATCCTCTAAAGAGACCTCTCACCATGATATTTTGAAAGAAAGCTGGAATCTCTGCTTCTTGTTAAAGGAAGTCATGATTCCAGAGTCCAAATGAGGTTTCTAAATCCTCAGTGACACACCACATCCTCAAACGCATCACAAAGTGAAGGCACTTCTATCATCAAGGAAAGAAATAATTCATTTAAGCCAAATCCTTCCCCACAGACCTGTGCACAGCAGGCTATGTGTTGTGATGTATTTTAATATCTGCAGTTGTTTCTAAGGCAGGTACAGTTATCACAGGCTGTAATGGGAATATTAAGAAATAATTACAAGCAGGCAAGCAAACAAAAGTAAACCTGCAACAATGACAATGAAACTCTTTGACAGAGATTGCAGAGAAGAAAAGTCATTCTAATATTATCTGATCTAGGGGTCAGGTATCTGCTCTGGGTAATACGGATTTCATAACTGAAGCAAGTTAGAATTGTCAGTATTTTGCTTGTTAAGGTGAATGAAATCTACTTTATAAATTAGACTATAAGTTTCACATAGATTTTGCTTCTGTGTACTTAGTATATTTTAAATGGCTTAATGGGTTTTGAGTTACTTAGACCTTACAATATGTTGGTAAATTCTTTAAGAAACTTTGGATGCCAGTTTCTAGAAAGCATTTGAAAACCTTCAGTAAATGGAATAAATAAAGGAAGTCAGGAGGCTTTAATGTGTACCTAAAATTAAGATTCTAAATCTGCACTATGCTGCCCTGTACTAGGGCAGTTAAACAGCTTGATTTTTAAAGTACTGGAGCCTCAGAATTCTTTTGGATAACAACAGAATGATCATATGTTTTCTTCTGGGCAAAAGTAAAGTTCTGCAAATAATTGCACCATGTTTTTGCTGTAAACAGTACTATACTGCCTGTTGAGAAGCATATGTTCAACACAGCACAGAGTTCTATTAATGCAGAACCAATGTCAAAGATTTGGCTGCTTCCCAGAATTAGCTGACAGCATTGTCTGGGCTCCGTGCATTTCACAGAGTGTATCTACACTCCAAGGAATTTGTGATTTGAAGTGATTCGAGAGAAGGAGCTGCTGCAAATCTCAATATCCATCTTCCCAACAATAAGGCAAAAACAAATGATTGCATACATCTGGTAAAATACTTTTTATTTTTCTTTTTCTATTTTTTTCCTTTTTTTATTCTTTTTTTTATGAAGTGGCACAGAAAGACATGAAATATTGACATTTAAGTTAACTTGCTAGCTCAGAGTTTTTGGCATCAGCCACTGTCAGCCAAAATGATTTCTACTACTGTAGCTGTCTGCAGCTAGGTACATCTTTCCATTTTGCAGGTATCGTCTTTTCTATTTATTTTATTTAATTGTATCTTGTAGGACACGACAGTCAGTTTTTCCTACTGTAAATGTTTTTTGGTAAATGTATAAACATTAGATAAACATATAGAAGGCAGATTTTATTTTTCTGGATGTTTTTCACATTTTTTTTCCCCTTTATACACTAGTTTCAGAGTCCAAGCTCTTCTTTCCCAGATAAGCAGCTGATGTCTTTCACAAAGGCAAACTACATGCCTTTAGCTCTCTAATGAGGGACTTTGGCTCCTATCACAGTTTAGAAATATTCACTGATAGTAAACCGTAGGCTAAAGGACAGTGTAAACCGTTTGCATTCCCTTGCTGTCAATCATTTGGAGCTTTTATGTTGTAGACTTTTAATCTTACTCTGTTATTTACCCTGACATATTAGAAAACTAGCATAAATGGGATATAAAGGCTTTTTTTTTTTTATGCCAGATTTTCTACCAGGAAACACATGACTCTTCATTGCTATCTCTAAAATAATGACCTAGTGAAAATCTTTGTCTAGTCAGTTCTTTAAAGGCAAACAAGATATTCTGTTGTGATAGTGCTTAGAACTTCATTGATGCTAAAGGCAACTCCTTTGGTTGGTTAGGGAGAAACTCTTTTGGTCATACCATCTAAAAACTTGTGAGAAATTCAGTGTATCTATTAGATTTGATACAATAAGGGGTTTCCCTACATCAAGGCTTAACTCCAACTGGCAATTAAGTACCATACAGACATGTACTCATTCCCTGGTGGAATGGGGAGCAGAATCTGAGAAAGGTAAAATCCATGGCTTGAGATAAGAACATTTTAATAGTTGCAATGAAGTACTACTCCTACTACTAAAAATAGTTGTAATTTCAATTAATACAATAAAAAGAGGGAGAGAAATAAAACTCAAGTTTTAAAAAAAATTAAAACCAAAACCAAGTGATGCACAATACCGTTGCTTACCACTCACTGACTGATGCCCAGCCCCTGAGCAGCAATCAGTGGCTCTTGGTCGCCTGCCCCATTTTATACACTGAGCATGACATTCAGGGGTGGGGAATTCTCCTTTGGCCAATTTGGATCAGCTGTCCTCACCATGTTCTATCTTGACTTCTTGTGCAATTCTTCACTGACAGCATGTGGCACAGAAAAAAAACCTTGATTTAGTGTGAGCACTACTTAGTAACAACAATTACATCAGTGTGTTATCAGCATTACTGAATATATACCAAATCCAGAACAAAGCACTGGTTACTAAGAAGAAAATTAACTCTATTTCAGCCAAAACCAATTTTTTTTTCACCTAGAGATGTACTGCTTGGCTTTTTGTTGCGATGTAAATGGTTGAAATGTGTTACAACCATTCTCTAACCTGCATTTATCCCAAACATTCTGGCTGGTATGAAAATAATAAAGAAGGATACTCACTTTAGACAGGACCATCTTGCCAACCAATATAGGTGCAGCAGCATGTCATCCTAGGAAGAGCCATGAGGTATGGAACAATGCTGTGAAAGAATTAGCTCAATGCCTGTGGCTTAAGCAGAACCTTTTTCTCTTGTGACGGTATCTGGATGTTAACAAATGTAGTCAGTCATGTATCTTTATATGAGAAAAGCCTGTGCTATGAGCCTAAGGCATTATCCTTATATCCTTATAGGATATGATTGAGATTTTTCTGATCATATTTTTCTTTCTTAAGAATTAATAAGTTGAACTATATTTTTACCAGAGGATATTATTTACATCAGAACTGGTTCCCAGCTTCAGGAACAGCCAGGTGTTTTGTAAGTACCACAACTCCCTTAGGTTCTGCCTTCCAGGAGGCAGAAGCAATAGTGTTCTGAGCTGAGTGACTCAGAGGGATTTTGTTAGAGCAGACATTCCTGCATCATTCCTTCCTGTGTGACAGAAGCACTAGTAACCTCTCTCTCTCTGAGGAGGCTTATTAGCAGATGTAGAACAGGCCATTTGACCCTTTGCACAGTACTTCTTCCTTATCAGAGATTTGCCCTTCTGTGGGAAAAGACAAATGGGGAAGATTCCTATGGGTTTATGTCAGCTCATGATGCAACACTTGGATCACTTCTACTCAGCCTGCAAGGGAGGCACTACAAATTCAGAAATACTGGATGTTATATTCTTTACACTGGCTGAATAAGCCTCTTTGGGTGCAAGCACAGTGTGAACTTTCTGTTGACATTCTGTAGGATATTTTTTTATTGGAACATATGAATTACTATGAAGGTACCTAAGAGGGGATGCAAATATAGACTGAATGGAGACTGCAGAAGCAAACATCAAACTGCATTTCCTGTCTCTGTGTTTAACTACAAATCTAAAGTAATGTTTTTTCAACTAGATTTTTGTGGGTTTCTGGTTTTTTGCCTATTTTTTTTTTTTTTTTTTTTAAATCTAGCATAGATGTATATTTAAAAAAAAGTCGTCCATAACACCTGGACAAAGCAGAAGAATGAAAAACACCATTTTCCATTGTTTTGATTTCAAAAATTTATTTGACCATAATTTGAAAAGATATCAGTGCTGACTGTTTCTGTTCATTTTATTTTTACAATGATCTTTGGAGAAAGAATTAAAATGTAATGGGACCTGTTAAGTAACAAAGATATTTTCAACTATACGTGCACATTAAAATATCATAAGACACTAAATAGAATCCCTTGTAAAATCTGCATTCAGCATACAACTGGACACCTATAGACATAAGATAAAAGCTAAAAAGAAAGCACAGAGGAATTGGAAGGAAATGTGTCTGGTCTTCAGCCCAGAAACTAATCACAGTTGAATATACAGCTTCTGCAAACATATTCTAAAAACTTGGGGAAGTCTGAGAAAATTAAAACAGTAATATTTGACTTTTGGAAGACTCATCATCAGGCCCAACATGCAAAATATTCTAACAACCCCAATTTTATGATCAAAACAGCAAATAGATACTTCATTCTCACTTATTATTGGAAAAGGAAATTAAAAAAACAAAAAACAAAAAACAAAAAAAAACCCAGAGAAAACTAGATGAGACTCTGTTTGTTTAGTTGCACTAGCATATGTACCTACCACTGACAAAGGGCAGCAAGGAAATGATAATGACATGTTTGTGCTGAAGGCTTCCTCTGTTTGGATCTGGACGGCATCAAAGTAAAATATCTGACAGCTTCCCTTGGTTTGTCAAACCATAATAGCAGCTTACAGAAACAAAGTCTTGCTTGAAAAGAGGCTTGGAATCACAGCAGAGAAAGCTGCTGTGTAAAACAGAGATGAAGAAAACGTAGCAAAGGTGGAAGACTCCACAATATTTTAATGCAGCGTTTGAATTTCAAGCTTCATCACTAGTATCTCTGAAGTCAAAATAGTTCAGCCTCTGAGGAGTTCTGAGCTCTGTCAGCTCATTTTTAAAACTGTTTTCTGATTGATATGAAGGAAGCTTATTTTGTATTCATGGAAAGCCTTTTAAGAAACACAAAAGAAAACAAATAAAGAGAATAAGCACACATTCAAGTACTGTCATAGGCCCTAACACTGACTACAGTCAAGGGACATTGCCCACTTTCCACTGCTGTTCACATATTTTTCTTTTGGCTCATATCATCTCATCTGATCAATTATTAAAACATTAGTTAATTATTAAACAATAGTTAATCAAATATTAAGTATCTGGACATTTTTGAGCTCATTGTTATCAGCTGAATTTACATAAAAATCTAAATATCATTGAATCTTCTAACCTAATAGGAATAGCTACTGTCAAATCTGTATTAGGGAACAGTTCCTGGTAGCAGAGATTCACAAACCATGAGAACCACAGGGTCAGTGAAGACAGACAGCTCAGTAGTGAAAGTTGAAAAAGCCTTGTTTACATGGCCCTATGCTGAAACAAATAAATGCTTCCTTACAAACCCCATCATCTTGCTGCTACTCCAAGCTTTCACTTTTGCAGGTACCACAGGAAAGCTTAGAAATCCCTGCTGTCATGATGCAGACATAGCCTCAAAAACATGTCAGGAGGGGGAAAGACAGGTCCTGAGCCACATATAACTACAGAGGAAAACAATTGCACAGATTTATCTCCAGAAATGAATGGGAAGTTAGTACAGTCTCTGGAAAGTGAGAATGTAAAGCTCTGTGGAATAACTAAGAATTATATAAGATTAAAATTAAATTTAAAGAAAAGCATCAAAGTATTATGAAATGGTGCTCCTAAGATGCAGTTTATATTGAGTTTTATATCTGCAAATAAATGTGATTTTTTGTACTACCAGCATGATAAAGAGCCCCAAAATATATTGTTGTTTTCATTTATCAAGGAAACATCAATTCTCTTGATCCTACCCACCATCATGCAGGATTCAAAACCTAAAGAATTTCACCAAATTTTTGTGATTACTGTAAGACTAAATTTTGGGAAAATAATCATGTTAGCTTTTTACCTAAGAAAGCTGAAATTAAAAATTGGCAAGATCACTTGGTGTTAAGGAGTAGTGTATCTGACAAATGTTTATCAGATTGGTAATTTTATGACAGTGAATGCTGCTTTGCCTTCCTTTCCATTTGATATAAACTCCTGATAGTGGACTTTGTGACCCCAGGGCTCTCAGTAAAGGCTACAGCTTGATATTCATGCATTGAATCAAGAAAACTATAATTGATTTTCATATTACAGGATGTGTTTGCAGGATAGCCAACTGGAAAAAAAGTAATTGGGAGAGATATGTTGATGGATTTTTGCTTGATTGTTTTCACAGGTGACTTAATTTTGTTAATGAGTTTATGAATTTTAGCTTTTTGAATTATTTCTACATATGTTAAAAGGACAAGATGGTTTATAGCAAAAATTCAAGAGTAGGTTTTGATTTTTTTTCCTACTTTTTCTCAGAGTGAGCAGGAAGAAAAAAGTTTAAGTTTTCTTTATATGACAATAAAAATGAGTTTATTTATCTATGTAATTGCTTTCCTACCATTTTAAATATATGCCGTCAGAAGAAGTAGCATTGATAAAAAAACCAGCATATATTTTGCTTTGGATAAACATTTCATAACATAACAAGGTGTGGTTTTTTGTTATTACAATTCATTTTTATACAAGTGACCTATCAGTAATGACCTTGACTCTGGATCATTTATTAGAAAATAAACAAATAGATGGAATAAATGACTTGTGGAAAAGACTTGGGCTATGAACTCTCCCAGATGGTCATTAATCCCCCAGAAATGCTACAGACCCTGATCATTAAGACATAATTAATGTATTAATATAGTGTCTAAATGCTGAGCTGCATTTTCTTTTTTTTTAATTAACCTTTTGGAAATACTTTACTAATGAAGAAGGGCAATATCTGTTTGCCATGGAGATGCCACATTATATTTTATTATTCACATCAAACACAAATAAATTATGGAAAGCTCTTCATGTGTTTGTACACTTCACACTTCACACTTCTGAGAGCTGTTGACTATTGGAAATGAAGGGCAAGGGAATGATTAGAAAGACTCATTATGCACTGGTTCAATACTTTGGCGCTATTCTTCATGAATGTGCTTAGCACTCAGAGCAGACTGAATTCTCAGCAGGGCAGGCAAAATTGAATTTTGCTGTTCTGCCATAGAGAAGCTAAAGGGCAGAGGAAAAGGGCAAAGCTAAGATGATTGATCTGGGAAAAGATCCTTGGAGACTCAGGCTTCCTTTTCCTGTAGCTACTTGGGAATGCTTTTCTAGGGAAGCTGTAATGGACATTGCCAGTGATTGCCAGTCATATGAGTGGCAAACCAACTCCATTGGTTTGGCTGCCTGACTACACACAGCGGGTGCTCCTGACATGCCAGGACATTTGATTACTCAATGGCAACACCAGGAGCAGGTTTTCCAGAGTTCTTAAGGAAACTGATATATCCAGTCAACAAGAATTGTCATAAACATTAATTTCCTGTCAGCATTGCCAACATGATGTAGTGCTAGTCATTTGGAACATTAACCTGATCTTGCAATTTCTAAAGCTGATTAAAGGTTGTAGACATTCATCTTCAATTAGGGAGTTCCTGATTCCCCTATTAGCAAGATTTTGGAAATTCAATGTTTATACCTGACTCATAACCAATTATTACACAATGGATGTCTGAAGACACTTAACTACTAGATGTCTACTAATATTTATTATTCTTAAGGAATATGGTACAAAATGTTTGTATTTTAAAAGTGGGTTGTTTTTTTTTTCTATGTATCCCTAGATATTCTCACAGATTTCAAATTAATAACTAGATTGCAGTTTGAGCAATTCCATCTGCCTATCAAATATGCATATCTAAATATAAATATGATGCACTATTTTGACATAGACTATTCCAATTTTAACAGTTATTACATACTAAGTAAAAGCTTCATCTTTCTTGTTTCAAAATCAATCGATCAACCAATCAATCAACCACAGCTTGTGACATAAATTCTCAGCTATGAATTATTTCTGTTATATCAAGAAAAATTTTTCCAAGCAGTTCCCAAATTGTTAGAAAGCTTTTGTTACAAAAGCATTGATAAACAGTTTAGTTTATGCTTATCATCTTCCTTTCATTTACGATTATAAATTCAATCAAAAATTCTGAAAGTGTTGCTTTGTCAGGTATGTATTTACCTTGGAACAAGGGATGAAGTATTTAGCCACTTTAATGGAAGACAAGGAAGACAACTGAGTGTTTAGCTCAGCCTTTTCTAATTTATCATGCAATATTAGGTCTTATTCTCTCTGTTTATTAAATAATTTATTAAATACATTACCTTTACTTGCACCAATAGGATCAAAAAATTAGACAGGAACTTGATATTGCTGAACATTAACACCTATAATTTTTACAACAGTCTGAAATAATTTACTTATTCTACCATTAGATGTTTTGAGGTAGAAATAAATTCCCTTACTATGAGCAAAAGTTTGTCTATAACTGATTAGGAAAACTCTGTTTTCTCTTTTTTTTGTTGGTTGTTTTTTTTTTTTTCTTGTGAAAGAAAATGCGAGTTTCTTGCAATGACTTTCCTGCAAATTTGTATTTTGTCTGTAGCAAACTGACAAGTTTTTATTGTCCTGCATCCACATCTTAAAAAGCAAAAAAAGCCAAGCAAAAATTAATCAGGTCCCAGATCTATCCCTATGGCTATTGAAGTTGGAGGACCCTAAAGTAATCTGCAATTTAATCTGTGGAAAAGGGACAGTGGAGAGAAGCTCAAATTAATGTATTACACTAAAACAATTACATCTCCATTGTATTTAATTGTTGTGAGGTTACAGTTTCTATAAAACTCTATCTTCACTTTTTCATAATCACTGAACTTAAACCTCAGCACTGAAAGGTGTCTGTGGGAAGTGTCTGCCTCAGGCTGAGTATTTTGTGTGAATTTTAAGCTAAAATAGCATATTTTCTTAAAAAAAAAAGAAAAAAAAAAGAGTTGATGCTAAAAAAGTCCATTACAAAACTCTACCATTTCCTTTCTTTTGAATAAAGAAAAGGAATTCACCAGGGCTGAGATGCTGCTCTCTGTCTAGTACGATTATTGTGTCGTTTCACATGAGAATTAAAAGGTTGGACTAAGCTTACACGGGTCAGGGGAAAAACAAGAGCAAAATAACAATTGCAAAAAATGGATTTTTCATATATTAAGTTGAAACTGCATAGCACTTAGCTTCTGCAGTAAGAGGAGTGAAGGCAGAAGTTTGTCTGGAATGCCAAATAAAAATCAAGACTACAAACACAGAGCTTCTGCCTTCTGCTTAACCTGCACTTCCCCCTGCCGATGTCCTGCTGGGGAGGAGGAAGTGGAATGGAAATAAGTGAATAGCCTGGAGGGAAAGAGGGAAAGTGGGAGAGTGCAAGGTCAAGAAACAAAAAGCAGATGTTATGATGTTGGAAAATAGGACCCTTGAGAAATAGAAGACAAGATGGTTTAGTAAAAGCTATGAAATTGGAATAAAAACTACTTTATCTCCACACCATGCCAATAGCATGTTTTTTCTCTCTGGTGCTGGGGGAAGAGGGAAAAGGAAAGAACAAACCCATTCCATACAAGAGGAAAGCTTAAAATATATTAATTGTAAAATGGAACATTTTGTCAGCATCTGATACCTTTTTCGTTACACTCGTTAATGCCATCATCATGCTCTTGTGCTAATTGTTGTCTGAATGCAGGTACCTTTAGACTGACAGCTCTGAGGTATCCTCTGTCAACAGACCAGCTGTAGCAATGGGGAACAAAGAGACAAGGACCACCTTATGCATCCCAAGAAGATCACTTCATTGTAGAAATCATCCCCTTTTATACCTTTAATCACAACCAGACAAAACCAAAACTTACCAGAAGAAGGGCACCCACTGGCTGGCTCAGCTGCAGTGCTGCTGTCCATAAGTCACAACTATCTCTCACCCCGCAACCAGCTTCCAGCCATCCAGCCTGCAGCTGTGCCATCCCACATCATCCCAGGCATCCCAGTGCCTGCTGGTGAACATAAACCTTAACAACCTTAACAAGTGCAACCCCATATCCCACATCCAACATTATGGAGAACATCTCAGACATCTATTACCAAATGTATAAACAAGACTGGGAAATTTCTAAGGAAACAATAGAGTAATGAGTGTGACAGAGAAACCACATGGGAGGAATAATAAAGTATGAAAATCTGTGTGTAGTAGTTTATATGTCAGTGAAGTAATTTATACATATATATATATAGTGGCCACACTTTTATTGTTGATTTTTTGATTTTTTTTTTGAAAGTGATTATAATAGACTCTTCATTTTGATGTATGACCATATCTTATCTGTAATACTTCAGAAGTAATTTTGGAACAGCAGGGCACGTTTGGTTCTAGAGTAAAATGTAGGGGAAAAATACTGATATACGTATTTAGACATATCTTTCCAGAAAGCAATTGTGTACAAAATTATAAAATTTCTGCAGATTTCTTCAATATCTGCTTGTAGATTTGCTACGAAGACTAGAAAAATGCTATCTCTCAACAGTATCTTCAGGAAGAAAGGAATATGTGTTTTTGCCCTTATCTCCACACATTACAAACCCTCTGGAAATTCACTCCTTATTTCAATAATAGACTGAATTGGATTAATTTCTGTGTTAAATTAGAATGCTTCAAAGTCCACTACAAAACTGCAGTGTAGTTAATAAACACTTAGTAAGACAAAGCTCCAATGATACCAAAGCCTCTGCATACATGGGGATAAATGGAAACAAGATCCACTTCAGGAAAACCATATCAATTCACTTTTAAAACATTATAACAAACTCTCTGCTTCTGCCCTTTGGTTGGAATTTCAGAATAAAAAATACAGAAGTGCTCCTCAGAGAGCTGACTGGACAAGTCAATGTCATGAACAACAATATTTTTCTGATAATTTGAGGTTTGGATGTTTTTTGTTTCAGAAAGATATGTTATATTACTTTGCTTTCTCTCAGTGGTACTGAACTTGAAAAGCAGAGAAACCTGGCTATGAAGAAGGATGATGGTTTAGTTTTTGGTTTGGTGGGGGTTTTGTTTGTTTGTTTGTTTTTATTTCACATAGAGAAAACTATGATTTACCTTTTCTCCTCAATTTGAGTCAAACAAAATCCACAGGTAATGGAGATTTGCCACCTACACTCTTGTGAACAAAAATGCCCTATATTTAAAGCAATCAATTGATAAATTTAACTGCACACAGTTTTATTTGTATATAACTGATTTTTACTGTAGTCTCTCCTACAACTCAGCATTTTTATTAAAGAAATCTTTCCAGCATTTTTACCTCCTCTTTTTAACTGCCTCCTTCTCATCATACAGCTTTACAGAGCTGTCACTGAGGGGTACTTAGCAAATCTCACAGCCCCAAATAAAGTTGTGTTTGAAAATAATGATGATGATGCTCCCACATTACATCATCACAATTTCATTTCTTTTTACTGCAGTCTCATGTTATTGTTAGGATAAAACAAACTACTTTTATGACAGGACTATTCCATTTTATAATAAATTTGCTGCAGCATGTCAAGAAAACCTTTAAAATATTGCACAGTGTGTGACTGATGTAATGCATTATTTCACCAAATCTCTGATGCTACAGAAATCCCACTGCTATAGACTAGCTTGTATATCTTTACATACATTTTGTATCTTTTATATGTTTTTTCTAAAAGGACGTTGTACATCTCAAATGGTAATATCACAAGATTGAAATAAATATTGATTTGCTTCACTGCTAATGACCAAGGGGTTAATTTAATGTCTGAGAAGTAGACGGTAGATTCCTCTTGATTTCAAATTTCAGACAGTGCCAGACTGGGAAACAGATATTGGATTCATCTCCATCTAAACCCACATATTTAAACCAGTAACCTGTATCTCAACTTGTTACCCAGGCTTCTTCAACAGAGGAAAAGAGGTGTTTATTGTGTACTGTTTAACATATTCTAATCTAGATGACTTAGGAGAAATATCTGTCAGCATCCTTTCCTATTTCCTTCCCCCCCCCCCCCCACTTTTTAGAGCAGGCCTTCAGACCCAGAAAGAAATTTTAATACATCAAGGTTTGAGGAAAGTTTTCCAGTTTAAAACAAAAGCTGAATCTGCCCTGAAATACTGAAATTGTTTAATGTTTGACATAATTAAATATGTAACTTTTGATATTTATTTTTTTCTGACTGTGGTTCTTTATATTTTGAAGCCAAATATTTTGATTTTTTGATATTTTTAGCAATACATATTCTGATTATGGAAATAATACATATTTTTATTTAATTGTCCTCTTTGATGTTCCCAGGCAACCTAATGTGTTGAAGCCTAAAAAAAAGGTTTATTCTGTGGTAGAACAAAGATACAAAAACTGCTTGAAGAGGTTTGTGCTATTTTCTACTATATTCAAAGCACTCATGCTAATTTAGCAGCAGACTGAAATATTTTATTTTCTTATTCATTAGGTTGCTAAGGAATCAGAGGTTAAGAGAAGGTTGGGCACCTTGCTCCTGACAAGTGAACTGCCAAGGGGATGAGGAATAGAAGTGCTAAGATGACTAGAAATTTGCTCAGTTATTGTCACAGTTTCAAAAGATTTGATATGTTGCCTCAAATGTTTTGATCCCACCAATCAATGATATCAATAAATCATTTACTTCTACAGAGAAGTGTCAGGGAAATTTTGAATAATTCTCAGTAATTTCTTTGCAATTCTAGGCAGCAGCAGTGCCTATCTGTCACAAGCCTAATGAGCTCTGGGCTGTAATAGCTGGAACTTGGATAGTTTTCTGGGCATATTGAAAAACAACACGGATTTGTGAGGAAGAGGGAAAGCTATAGAGTCTTCCCAGCTGCCACAGGTAATCCCATGTTTGTGAGAGAGGCATAGCTCAACACATGCAATTGAACTCATCTTGGTTTTTGACAACCTTTGTCTGGATATTTGTTTGCTTGCTGCTCTTGTGATTGTAAATATATTACAAATGATCTGAAGATAGATTTTTTTATGCACTAGAAAAGCAAAGGGTAAAAATATTTGAAACTGAAGGCTCCATGTTTTTTGACAGTTCGATAGAAAAGAAATCTATCAACTGCCATGTCTTCTGGAAACGAAAAAATGTTAGAAATATGCTAGAAAATGAATTTTTCTTTGAAGCATTTGTGATGGCAAGTATCTCATGTGGAATGGATGAATATTTTTTGTTCTTACATTTATTGTTTTTCAGTAGTGCTATTTAGAAACCACTCTTGAGTGCATTTATCTTCCTGTAAATACTTCATTCCTGTGAGTCAAAATATTACTGTTCACGTGTGCCAAGGATATCTATTGTATGTATTACGAAAAAAAATTTTGTCAGTTGACACACACCACCTCCATATAGATGTTTGTAACTTCATAAAGCACTCTAAACAAAACAAATGAAACATTGAAGTTATACTGCAGATTGTTATGGACACCCTCATAATGGTTACTAAGGTGGGATTCTGAATGAGCCCAAAACAGATCAATGAATCACTAGTGTTGTCAGGGTCAACTTCAGGCATTGGAAGTAGAGGCAATTGCCTAGGCAGTAAAACTGGAAGAGACAGGAAAATATCCATAGTTTAATTATCTTCTTTAAGAAGATCTTTAATTAAGTTTTTCCTATAGCTATGCCACATGTCTGGAAAGACACTTTGGTTTCCTTATATAAGATAAAGGTGTATGGGCTAGGAGTTACTGCTATGCAGAAGCAGGGAAGGAGAAAAGAGGCAGTAAGAGTGGCATGAAATTCTGTTGTCACATTTCAATCCTACTTCTTCTCCCTGTGTCTTCTTTTACTGACAGACTTGCCTCCCCACACTTAGAAGTGGCAAAATTAATTTTTGTCTTATGTTCCTGAGAGGTCTCGAGCTGCTTCCCAAACCAGTTATGTTGGCAGAACAGAAAGAAATTCAATTGCTGTTATAAGAAACCTATTTATGTGACCTTTATAAATGTCCACTGTACTTTTCCACTTTTCTAGATGAATGAATGTTGTAAAAGGAAGTCTGATGTGATGAAATATTCATATTTTAAGACCTTTGAATTTCTCCTGATAGTTCTTTTAGCATCAAATTGACAATATCTTTTGAGAAGTACATCTGGTCTTAATTAAAGACTTCAATTACAGCTAATCCATCATAAACTTTGAAAAACTCTTCCAGTCTTAATTACAAACACTGTTAATAATGTAAAACTCATATATCATTAAAGTTCAAGCTTCAGGTTTCAGCTATCTGATCATTTCATTCCTCTTGCTATTAATATATAAACCCTCCA